CCATGCCTGACGGGTGGTTACTGCTCTTAGGTTTGGAAGCCTCATCTTTACTCCTTTAAGCATACCTGTTGTCATTGTGGCCAAATAGCTCAAACTTTGTCTTGTCTGAACATAGAACTTTTCTCCAGAAGACACTTTGCTTGTATATGCTGCAAGTATCATTCAAGAGTGAAGGTGTGGATTTTTTTTTAAGGACAGGCATCTTTACTAACCAGCTCTGTAACTTTGGATAGTGATGTGGTGTGACTGTCCACAGTGATGTGGAGTTCCAGCGGTTTCCAGGTCGTGGCAGGCTTGAGAACTGGTAGTTCTTGGATTGTTCCTGAACAAGAAAAGGGTGACAGTTTGGATTTTTTGTCCAGACCTTGGTTAAGTTGTGACACATCTAAATAACGTGTACTTACATACAGTTGTTTGAACTGATGATCTTTGAATCTGCAGTTGTTTAGAAATGTGTAAATCTACAGTTATTCTTAGATCTTCTGTGAATTCATAGGACTTTCCCATTGTTCTGATCACCCCAACTAGCGCTGTCAAGCCAATCCTTTTTTATGCTGCAAAGATAAACTACCAGTAGTAGTCAATCGTGCTTACAAATGAGAAGTTAACAGGCCTTGGCCTTCTCAAGTTAAAATACATTCTAGAAACCCTTATAAAAAGATTTGAGTGAGTGCATATAGAATTTAGCCTGTACATGTAATTTTGACCCTGTGTGGATTAGTGAACTTCTTGTTTTTTCAAAAGTCATTAAAGATGTATGCCGTACAGTCATTCCACCCTGAAACAAGAACAGTTCAAAATAACAATTAGAAGCTTAAAATTACCATCCAATGCCCATGTTGAGTTTATGTAAACCTCTAACCACGGCTGTACCTTTATTTTCTTCACATAATTCAGTCAACTGGAGCAAGGCTCTGATGTCTGCAGGTTCCTTGGACTGTTGCATCAGTTCTATCAATCTTACTTCGTTGGAATAAGCATCATTGGCTGAAACACAGAAATGAGAGTTAGACCATCGAAGAGTTGCTGTGAGGTCAGGATCTGATCACTGTTGGTTTCTTACAAATGGACTCAGGCTGCAAAGCATTTAATATTTCCTCCAGGTCCAACACATGAGCTCTTGTTTTCTGTAATAAATTGTCTTTGATTTGATCACGTATACTTATTGAAAACATTGACTGTAGAGGTATTGGTATAAAGATCTGTCACCTCTCACATTTTAACTGGGCATTCTAAGCATCACTGCAAACTGCCATATCAGGAGGTAATAACATTTTTAACTGAAAACACTTGCATTTTACTGCTGTGATGATCTGCCATATAAAAGGCCAAATGTCAGCCGGTCTGATTATGCATAGGCAGTGGAAGATCCACATTTTGATTTATAACAACCTTTCTGACGGCAACCGTAACGAGTCCTGTGGAAAGACGCCCACATAATCTGATCAGCCCAAAGCAATCTGAGTCTGCTGCATCCTGTGTGGGTGCTAAAAGGGTCATTCCGTAGCTTCATTTAGGATCTCCATCATCACTTTGGGCAATTCAATCAAGCTTAAATCTGAAGATGCAGATGAGATCTTTCCAATCTGCTGCTTAGGGAATTTTTCCAGAACCCCACAGCATGAGAACTCTCTGGGTTTAAGAAATGTAGAAATGATCATTTTTTTAAGGGTTCAACAGGTCACATTTACAAAAGAAAAAATATAAATAATTAACCATAATAATGTAGAAATTCAATAGTGGAAATAAGTTCCCCCAGAAAACAGCACTTCCAGGATTACTCCGCAGATTGATTGTCATAGATGCCTGAGAATGCTGGTGCCTCTAACTGGAAAAACAAGATTTTTTCTAACTCAACTTTTTGTTATTGATATTCTAAAAACAACAATAACAGTAGTAAAAACTTAGCCAGTGTTGTGTCTACATATAACAGACAACTAACAAACGAGCAGTTTTAAATTGTATCTTTAGGCTCTTTGTTACAAGCAAACACAATTTCTTCCAATTTATTTAGTTGAAGCTAGAAAAAATGCAAAAGCTAACACAGTTTGACAGATGAAATAGCATTTTTTCACCAACAAGAAGATTCCTAAAGAGCTATTAGCTGACAATTTTGCATATCTAAGCATGGTGTGCAGTGCGCCATTAAACATTTTTAAGGATGTTGGACAATTTGAGGACAAAAAAGAAGTAGCAGGCCTAAAAAAACTATCTACAGCAGTTGAACATTTGAGAAATGGGAAATAATCCAGCAAGGATGTGACACAGGACCTGAGAGATGCATCTGGCCTTTCAGTTGATCCATTTACTGTTCACTGAAGCCTCGTCAGAAATTGTGTCAGTGGAAGGGTTGCTGTCAAGAAGCGATTCTTGAGTAAGGGAAACAGACATTAAAGGCTGGATTTATGTATGCAAATTTGATAGATGTGGTTCAATCATCATCAGTGTACACGGAGGAGGTCAGGAGAGAGCTAAAACATGGTGGAGGCTCTGTCATAGTTTGGGGCTCTATTTAAACCAGTGTTGTTGGGGATCTTTGTTAAAATGTATGAAATTATGATCAGAGAAACGTACCATCAGATTTTAGCCCATCTTACAATACCATATGGAAAACACCTGATTGTCAAAGGCATTAATTTTTCAGGTGGACAATGATCCCAAACACACCACCAACACAGTAAAAGCATATCTGGATAGAAAAATACATTGTGGAAGACTGTTAGTCGTGGATTGGCCTCCCCAGAGCTCTGACCTCAACATTATTGAAGCAGTAGAGGATCATCTTAATAGAAAATTGAACAAAATGCAGAAACATCCAAAGAAGACCTTTGAATGTCCTTTAAGAAGCCTGGAGAATTGTTGTGTTTAAAAACTGTTTAAGGAAATTATAAGAAAGCTGCCTCAGAGAGTTCAGACTGTGCTGAAAGGTTGTCACACTAAATATCAACTTTCAAGCCCAGAATTATTTAAACTCTGTTTCCCCTGATATACTGCATTACTATGTATGTTTGCACATTTCAATAAATCATTGCACCTCTTTTCAAGAGTTCAAAAGTTTTGCACAGTACTGTTTAATAGTACGTAAGTATGATATAATATATATATTAGATCTAGAAGGGGCACAGTGATGGACTGCATAGTAATACTGGTCCACATAGAAGAAAAACTCAGTGATTAAAAGTGGGTCTTAAACTGACAGGCCATCATAAAAATGTAGTTTTATTTTTCTGAAATATTTTCTGTCGGGGTAGAAAAGGAGCAACACTGCGCTGATACTTCACCCAAATCTTTGGAAAAGCCACACAGCAAAAATAATTATGCGGAAAACAGCACCCTCTGGAGGTTATAAGGCGGAACTACAATTTATATCTGGTATTGGTCAAGTGGTGAGTTTAAACATTCCGTGTATTTATTATTTCATGTACGTATAAATTTGTCTTTTCATAGTTTAGTGTCATTTTATATCTGTATTGTGTGTTTACCTTTGTTTTTCCATCAATTTGTGCTACTTTGTAATCTTTTAAAAATCTTTTTCCATTTTTGCACCATTTTACATCACTAATGGAAGACTACCACACTTTGTGGTTCTTTTGATCTTTTTTGCTAATATAGTGTTACTTCACATCATTTCCTGTCTCTTTATTTGCTTATTACATTAACTCATAAACTGTTGGCTTGAAGTAGAGTACCAGCTTCTAGTTTTGTCCATCATCTTTATTTATGTATAGGTTTTACTTATTGCTATTGTTTAGTTTAATTGTAGCACATAAATTATGAATATTCAGTAGCTGTAAGTAAATGGGGGGGGGGGGGGGGACGACACCACTATTAATGAAAACTTTAAATACTTAGCTACTATTTGATAATTTAAATAGTAAAGACTGTGTTACCTGTTTTAAAACAATGTTTTAAAACTGCTAGCTGCCATTTGAGTGATTAAAAGGTAAAAGTCACTTGGGTGCTGATATTCATGTAAGGGTGACTGCTCCTGTCTCGTTAGTTGGAAGACTTCTGATCAGGGAACAAAATGTGTATTAAAACAGATCACTGGTACATAGAAAGTGGCATACAAAAAACCTCCAAAACAGCAAAGTTTGCTCACACACAACAGAAGAATTCCTTGTAGTTGGTGTTGCTTTAATCCCTGGAGATTTACACAACATGTGGGTGGAACTTACAGAGGAAAGTATGCAGATAGAGTTTAAAGCCCACCAGAGAGGCCAGGTGCACCTGCAGACTCAAACTCTGTGCTTTCTGACCACTTTTCTTCTGAAAGCAATGAAAATCTGCTGGATTAAAAGCTTTTTGTGTTTTCATATGTGCCCTTACTTCCGAGTTTTCCATGTCTGCAGGAATATTATGAAGTAGATCTCTTCCACTCATTTCCACATTAATCCTCCTCCTTTTTATTTCTGACTCCACTAGAGTAGCTAAAAAAACACATTTATTATTGGTTATTAAGACTCATTTCTCATTTATCTCAGCAGACGCCCATTTGGGAAGAATGCATTACACTGAGAGTTGCTGTTTTATACACTGTAGGTTATCTAAACTACAGGAGAAGTGCAATGTTCTTCAAGACATTTCTGCTCTGTTGTTCTGCATTTTTGCCTTTGCTCCTGTGAATGTTACTCCTAAGCTATTACATTAGGGATATCTGCTGCCTTTGACTTCACAGAGACTTTCTAGAGCCCGATCTTTGGCTCACATACTCATGAATATTTTGAACCTTTGGCCATGTTTAATATAAATATCCACTGTTCTACGGCATTTAAGAAAATATGGAAGAACATAAAGGAGGATGAAAGGCCTTACTCCCCTGGCAGCCCTTCAGTGTGCTGAAATCAGAGTATATGTTTGTAGATTATCTATTACCCTGTCAGGAGTAAGTGTTCTTTCCTCCTGCATTTACAATTTAATGTACAAATTTATAGTCTACGCCCACGTGTGACACCCCGCCTTAAACCCCGCCTCCTCTTCCTGGCTGCAGTCAACGGATCCAGTCGGTGTCCATTACTTTAGGCCTTTACTAAAATTCACGAACAACAGGGAGAAGCGGTGGAAATAATCGTGAAGAATAAGAGAGAGAAACTTGTCTCCACAAAGCGAACAGGTGGAACTTTGTCACACCCTGTTGGATCTAATTCAGGAGAAAATCGTCTCTTCGTGGTGTTCGTTTCGAAGGTAACAGAGGACAGCGGTTATTTTTACATGTGGTACTTGAACGCAGCACACTTCTATTAAACCAGTGGTTCCCAAACTTTTTTTGCTGGGCCCCCCTTTGTTTTACAAGAAAAATACCCCCCACCCCCCACC